GTTTCAAGTTTTGTCGGCAATTTTTGATTGTCAATATTTTTCAATGATCGATCGATTTCGGTCTGAATGTCACCACAATTTGACGATACAATCATTGTTGTAGTGAAACTGGGCAAGGGCAATTGCTTTAACAACAGTAAAGTTTTCCATCGTTCTCTGTCATCCGGATGATGATACGATGAGATTGGTTTGTCCAGGACCTTCTCCACGCTGTTGCGCCACCTCTCCTTGGGTCTGCCTCTGCTCCTGGAACCAGCAGGTCTATAATTAAACGCCTGGTTTAGCAACCCGTTGTTTCGCCACAATTTGACGATACATTAGATTTATTTTGGAATCGATTCGAATCATGATGATTTTTCCCACGTAGGAAATTATCGCCATTTCTCAAATCTATCACAACTGCATTTTTTGTCAATTGAACAATGCCATTATTAATGGATAGATTATCATCGATATTGTTCAATATTCGGACCAAATCTTTAAATTCTATTTTTTAAAAAATGAATCAATTAAAAAAAGCTTTCTTTACTCTGTGAATCACGAGACACAATTTGGTTTTGGTTGGAAAAGGCGATTGATCGAATGAATGATTTGTATTCATGTGTGTGTGTGTACGTCGTGTAACAAAGAAAGCACGTGGCGGAAAAGGATAAACAATGAGTTTTAGCATGCTGCAGTGCGCAAGCGCATGTTAAAACTCTTTAATTAAGTGTTCTATCCGAAGATATTTGCACTGATTTAAAGTAATAATTGAAATAAAATCAAAATAGCCGAAATTGTATCTCTTTCTGATGATGATGAAGATGATGATGGTTATAAATGTCAATCATTGTTGATCATTATTATTCGTTTATCTCCTGTGCATCCATCATACTTTGGATGCTATCGAAAAGTATAAGTCGAAAAAAATATCAACAACTTGGTATCAATATCAACATCGTAATCACCCCTTACATCGATTAAAATGGATTCCAACGTTTTTTTCAATATCTTATATAGGATGTAGGCTTGGCCAATTGAAGATAAATAAATAAAATAAAAAGTTGTTTTTGATGATGTAACTATTTTTGCACAATTCGATCAAAGTGAGTTGTCTTTTGACAACAACAAAAACAAAACTTCTCATATAATACGTAATACATTTCTTAAGAAATTTTCTTCCGTTTGATCAATAATTTCA